CTGACGCCGTAAGCACTTCTCTAGTTTGCCACTAACAATATACAAACAATTAATACAGGTAAGGCTTGCAACTTTTTACAACCAGCGACTAAACCAGTCGCCCAAAAACGCAGCGTCCACAGACTAAATTTTCGTGACTGTCGCACTTTACAGCCAATTTTATGGCATATTTTTTTTATTGAATAGAAGGCAAACAAGTAGACGGATCACCTGATAGTAAGCGATCAGTGCCGCTCATGGACACCCGCAACACCAGAGGAGTCACAGATGCGTTGCTGGCTTTTTAAAAAGGAATACGCTCTTTTTTTGAAGGTTTGAAGGTCTGTCGGTTCGGAAATACCGCCGATATAATACGATTAATATGATCCAACAAACCAAATAATCAGAGGGCTCAACGCGGCAACGTTTCGGTCACGTTACCGAAAAAAATTTGCACTAGGCCCTCAGTTTCTTAGTTGACATACCTACTCGTATGATGTAATAATAATTATGGCAACATGGCTACTAATCTTCAACTGCTACAAACATTTTGAAAAAAAAGCGTTGATTATGTTGCTAGATAAATTGTAAAAATAAAACACATTATTGTTGGAATTCCTAAATAAATTGATTTACTAAGAGTTGTGATATAAAGGTAACGATTGTCGTAGGAGGAACGACTATAGGCGACAGGCTTCTGTCCACTTGAGTGTCGAATATGTCTCCTTTCTTAAAACAATACTTTTTAAAAGTTAAACGTGATGTATTTGGTTTTGATTTTTTCTTCCTTGGTGGTATAATACCCATGTCTGAATAGTCTGCAGTCATTGCATAATAAAAAGCCTGGAAGAAGGGAATTATGACCGATCTTCCCCAAAGCAGCCATATTGTTATAAATGTTGCTGTTATAATAACAACTTGTAGGACCATATAGAAGTAGTATGGGTAAAACATGGGGCTTGGCGACGCTGCACGTGTGATTTTACATATACAATATTGGCATAACATCATGTAAACGAGTAGTTGGTTGCCTCCTTCACACATTTGCATGCAACAGTCCCAAAATTTCGATCCCAGAATATACGGGAAGCAAAATATATCAAACCAAGTATTGCCCCCCCCTATTTCATCTGTTTGTGTGAAAAATTTTTCCCCCTTAACATCGTCGCAGCGGAATGGTTTTGGCTCCTTTTCACCCATATTATCGTAATTTTACCTTTGTAGGCGGTATATTTCTTAGATTCAAGTTAATGAAAAATATTGTACGTATCTGAAAGAAATAAACATTATTATATATTAAACTGTCAAACACCAAGCGGTCACCGGTGACCGCAACCTATTGTTCTATAATTGTGTCTATGATGACGGTACTCGACGAGTTAAGCCAATATTATATCAGGATGCAATCAGCTACTGATATTATTGACGCAGTGTTTTGAGGTAATAAAAAGTGAGATAAGATTTTTGTTTAACAAGATAATTAGAAATATCGTAATACTAATTACATTAACTAAAAATCGCGGGTTACTCACGTGAATATACTGAGAAAGGCTCTATTAGTTTCGAACTACAGAGGGGTTCTTTCTCATGGGCAGCGTGCGCGGTCGCGGCGATGTCCAGTAGGCTGCGCTGCTGCTAGTAAGAAAATAAGAATTAGTTTAGGTAAATATCACGGGCTAACCACGGGAATATACTGAGAAAAACTACTAGTTCCGAGCCGCATACTATATATATTCACGTGAGTAACCAGCGATTTTTAAATAATTTAGTATGTCTCACGATAGTTATTGTAAAGATAAGTATTAGTTGCTAAATCTCCTGACTTTAACAAAATCTTAATGATTGTAAGGAGATTAAATAAAACATAATCTTTTTAAATCTAAAGACCGATTTTTCAATCATTGTTAATTCTTAACTGTAGAATAAAACTGACATATCTACATATATTATAGATTATACAGTTATTCGTATGGAAGAATTGTCAAAGTTATTCCTAAAATTTAACCGAGCATTGAAAAATCGGCTTAGTAGTCAGAGCCGTATTATCGTTAAGGCAAGCAAGGCAAGTGTCTAAGGCGTTAGGTTACACAGAGACGCCGCGACGTTTCGAGTCGCGTGGCCAAAGTGACTACAGCGCCAAAAAATTGGAAGCGCCTATGAGGTGCTTGCCTAGGCCGCTCTTTAGATATAATCTGTCTCTGTTAGTTTTTTTATGGAATAAGCCAGTAAACGAGCAGACGGATCACCTGATGGTAATCGATCGGAGTGGCCCATGGACACCTGGAACACCAAAGGCGTTACAAGTGCGTTACCGGCCTTTTGGGGATTAGGAATTTGAGGATGTTGGGAATTTAGGAATTGGGGAGATTGAGGACGGAATAGGGCCGGTAACCTCACGAACATGGCGAAACTCAACGCAAGCGTTGTTTCACGTCAGATTTCTGAGGCCGTGGTATCACTCCGGTCGAGCCTGCGCCGGCCCATTCATGCAGAAGCATGGCTTGTTAGTATATACGTGTAACAGCACTGAATCTTCATAGCGCCATATTCAGAATGAAACAAACCGAAAGTTGTAGATCTACATTTGTTAATATTAAGATAATGACATTCCCGTGTATTTATATTTTTGACCTAATAATGTTTGCTAGGCAAAATACAAATCTCTTTCCAAAATTAAAAAGTAGGAGACAACAGTTAAAACTAAGCTGCATGCCAAACAGAACTGGACTCCTAAGTAAAAGTGTATTCTGCATGATACCTAGATTATATAACCATTTACCCACCACATTATTGGAAACAACAAACGACCATTCATTTAAAAGTAAATTAAAATGTCTACTTTTGGCAAAAGCCTATTACTCCATAAAGGAATTTTTAGAGGACAATATATCCGGAATCGAAATGTAAATATTGGAGCACACAGATACACTATTAATGTATGAGTAACTGTATGACATTAAATTTTAATTGTATTTTAGATAGTAACAATTTTATTAAATATTATGTATAGATGATATTCGATTTTGTGACATATTAGAATTTTTATCGACAAAGATTTAAAACTTTAATTTACCTATATGCTATTTTCTGACTTAATAATAATAATTATTCCTTATGACGTAAACCCACTATTTTTGACCTTAAAATTAATCTTTTTTATCTTGACTTAAATTGTTGTCACTTAACTTTGCATGGCGAAAGCCGGAATATGGCGATCTATATTATTATATGACTGTATAAACTATGAACAACATGATGTACCCATATTTGTGCAAATAAATAATTTGAATTTGAATTTGAATTTGAATTTGAATCTGGAATGGTGTCCAGTATTGAAGCTCATCCCATATTACACGGGTTTTCGAATAACAAGTGAAAATGGGTGGTAGGTTACTTTCTGATCTAGGTATACAGACCTACCTCTCTGCTCTGGTGGTTAAATAAAGATATATTACGTTATTTTAGTTTGAGCGGATCTGAATGAGATTGGGACGAGATAATTATTTGGTTTGGAAAAATATTGAAATAATTTCGTGAGATGAGATAATTTTATATCCACATACTGGTGGAAATGCGATCAGAAGCTACAAAATTGTCACATAATTTTATAAATTGACTTACAATCGGTTTTTTTAAGTAAGTACGTACCTATAAAACTTAATCTATTTATGACACAGCAATAACACTTCAAATTAAATATAAGTTAATAAATAGTTTAACTAGTTTAAAACTAAATCTCCTTATAAAACTTAGTAAAATTAATGAAATGAAATCCATGCACTGTCAGTCGCTATCATGACAATGATCAAAGAGTTTAGACAATGAATTTCCATATATTTATTATACTCTTTGACGATGATTGATGCAGCAAGGAGGATAGAGCTTTACTAAAAAGGGTTTTATGCAGTGATAGCTGAAACTAATATTAACTTCGAATTGTGCTTCATCTGAATCACCACGACCCTTCAGAACATATCTCATGAATAAACAATTATCCGAACATAGTACCACCCCTTTTTAAACTTGATAAAAGGCTACCGTACGATACTAGCGACCTCAGTAATTTAAAATTCTTTTTTGTCAAGGTGTAAGTATGAATTTGTTATCAGGTATGTAGTCAATCTTCTACGGTTTGTATGGTTGATCCAAGAAGAAAGGGTAGGCTGTCAAATATTTTCTTATTTTCTAATTTCTAACCAAGGGCAAGTAGCAATGTGATTTTTTCCGAGCTATATTTTCTAATCTGTTTTATTATTATTATCTTGACTTGAGGTGGCTGGTGCAACTAATATTCTTTCATTTTATTATTAACTACCTGACCCGGCAAACTTCGAGCCTGAATTTTTTTCCCCACCTTTTAAACCTTCTTTGGACTTCCACAAACATTTTAAGATCAAAATTACCTAGATTATCCGTTCTCGAGTTTTAGCGAGACTAATGAACAGAAATTCATTTGTGTTTATATGTAAACGAGCTCCTGCCGGCGACTTCGTACGCGCAATCCCGTTATCTCCCGTTCTCGTAGGATTTTCAAGATTTTTTCTGTCTTACGAACCTTCTCCTGACAATAACAAACAACAAAAAAAAAAAAAAATCAGCCATATCGGTCTAACTGTTTTCAAGTTATGGCGTTACATTTTTTTGTCATTGGGTTTCATTTTTAAATATACAGATATTACAGGGGTTTTCAATAAAACTTCCATTGCGTATGTTCACACTCTGTGTTTCAAATTCCTCTTAACGTCCATTCTCTTTTTTTATCCCACAAATTGCCGCCATAAATCTCCGTTTTCCCGCTTCAAAAAATTTGCTTCTTTCTTTTTGGTGTTGCCATGTTAAAAAAGTTACTCGATTCAATTCATCCCAGTTTTTTTTAAAATAGTTGTTATAAGAAGTAACACACTGATACCTTTACTTATCCAGGAGTAGAAAAATGATTTTCTTGTCTATTCCATACTTTTGACAGCTGATAGGTTGACACATGACATTTGTGAGTTGTCTATGTTTGACCCTGTATACGATTTTTAATCTGTAATTTAGTTCCGTGTTGACCATGGTGGGGTGAAGTTACGCAGTTTTTCTAAGCAAATATATTACGTATAAATTAACGTAATAATTATGTTACGAATTTAGAAAATCACACATCAACTGCAGGATTTTGCGTAATCCATGTTGTATCAAGGATTAAGCACAGGTAATTAGTTTTAAACTATATTTTAAAAGTGAAAGTTTTTCGTAGTTTGCAAACTTATAAAGTTATGATTTGTTTAGAATGCAAGTGATTTGATACGTATTTAATGATAATAATTAGACGTAGATTAATCATGATTAAGTTGCTTTATTTATGTGTGCTGTAATGTAACTTAAACAGGTTCTTTCGACCTTTGAATTAACTTATGAATCGGACTTATATTACGAACTTATAGTCAACCTTGGTAACTTTTGTCGTCACATTGTCCTTTACTCAGTATTAAGAATGTAATACTTTACCACAAGTAAAATTTAGAACAAAGTTTTTGTTACGCAAACATTTTTTTGCTAATTTATTTATTTTTATTTTTCTTTCTACAACTTTTATTTCGCCAAAATAGTGTTTCAAGTTAATAATATGTGTTTACATTTATTTTTATGTCGTAAGCTGATATGTAAATTATTCCTGTTTGTCTGTTAAATAACACTTATAAGTGTTTTGATAGAAAAATATATTTTTTTTAAATCTTTCGAAGGTATACAGAATAACGGAAGTGGACATGAAAACTTAAAACAAATATTTCTAACAGTAGTTAGATATTGGTCTAGGAGTGATTCAAACGTGTCTTGATTTATTAATTTCATTAATTTATTAATGGGACACTGTTTTATATGGATCTTGTATTTAATTCCTTATAAAAATATAAAAAGACTTAATTCCTTATAAGACGACAGCCAGAGGGTTTGACTGACCAATATCAACCAGATGTATGTCATAAAAAAGCTCTTTCCATGAGTTACTTAAATGATATATAATAAAGGAAGTGGAATAATGTTGTTGGGCCCACCTCTCAATACGAATAAGTTACCGCTCTATAGATAGGTATTCTTACGGAGAATAAAACTTATTACTATTACCACTAGGGTCAAAAGTCAGTGGTTTCGGAGTTACATGTTTGCCCGTCATCATTTGTTCTGTCTATCGATAATATTTATTTATATTCTAACAAATTATAAAACA